CACCCCCCTCTTGGCCGCTCCCGAAGTTAGGATGCTCCAACCTACTTTAGCCTTGATCGCCGGAAAGAATTTCGAGCGCCCGAAAAAGTACCGAAACTCAATGGGTCTTCACGCGTCGGGCCCTGGGGAGACACTCGCCCGACACTGTTTCGACACTGTTTCAACACTCTTGTGACACTTTTTCGGGTGCTCGAAATTATTTCTGGGATGTCCGCACGAACGAAATGGGTACGGGAAGAATGGGCACAATGTTCAACAGCAGTTCCTGTTCCTTCTGAGCAGGGCTCGCTGTCCGCGCCGCCGCGGCCTGTGTCCATTCGAGACAGGAGGAGGCCGCCCGCCCAACAGCGGCCGCTGTTGGTTTGGGACAACGTTTGCTGTTGGGCATTGTGCCCATTCTTTCCGTGACCATTTCGGGCGTCCAAATTCCAGGGGGCCACGCCGGGAGCAGAAGCGTCAAGTCGGGCGTGTCCCCCTACAGGCGGATTTTGGGCGAAAAATAACAAAATCCTCAAAACATACCCCCCTAAATGGGCAAGAGTATTCGAAAACTCGTCCCCATACCATTTTTTGACTATTTTGGAATTTCCCCCCTGTAGGGGGACAGGTCCGACTTAAAAGAAGGGGCTCCTCGGGCCCCTGGGATTTAGGAAGGGGCTGGGACGAGTATGAATCCGTTCCAGAGTGTTCCTCTAGGCCTCCCAGATGGGGTCAGAGTAGATGGGGTCGGAGGATCGCGCCGCTTCGCGGGTGCGGCTCGATGCGGAGACAGATTTTCTCCACGCTGGCGTCGCCGATGCATCGCCGGTGCATCACCGATGCATCGCCGATGCATCGCCGATGCATCGCCGATGCATCGCCGATGTATCGGCGATGCGGCGCGATCTTCCGACCCCATCTACTCCGACCCCATCTAGGAGTCCTCCAGGGACGAGGATGAATCCGTTCCAGAGCGTTCTGGAACGCTCTCAGAGCGTTCCGGAATGCTCTGACAAGGCCACGGCGTCCGATGCATCCTCCAGAGCCGCTGGATCTCTGAGCTACTCGATTCGTCCTCACCCGGATTTATCCTCGCCCTGGCCTCGTCTTAGGATTCGATCGGCATCTCCCAAGCTCTCCTGCGAAGACTGACCGGTGCTCCAACGCCTCTGGGTGGCCCCACCGTGGAGCGAGCCGAGCTCCCCTGCAGCGCGCCTCGTGAGCGGCGTGGTGGACTGCCGACGGCGCGGCGGCCCTCCGTATCCTGGGCTTCGCACCGCTGCTGTGTCCCTGCGCCTGCCCGACGGGCCCCGGTCCGCGGAGGATTTGTGTGCAGCACACCGCGCTGGCGTCTGCAGAGGCGTCCTCGACCCAGGAATGGCACGGCGCATGGTGTCGTCCGCCCTCGTTGCGGAGAAGCTGTGCACCGCAGCGCGTCGGAGCGGGTCTCGAAGGGAGTCCAGAGGTGGTGCAGTGCCAGTGCGGTGCAGTGCAAGGCAAGGTGGGAGTCCGAGGCGGGAATTTATCCATATCCACCGCCTGGAGGGTCAGTTTTCGGAGCCTCGGCAGGCGGTGGATGTGGACATACTCGGGCTCCCGGGGGCCGAAGCCTGTCCATACCCACCGCCCGCTGGGGCACCAGGACGTCGGTTCCCAGGCGGTGGATATGGATCAATCCCCGCCGCGCAGGGAGCCTGTGCAGGTGGGAGTCGGAGTCGGAGTCGGAGTCGGAGTCGGAGTCGGAGTCGGAGGAGGAGGAGGAGGAGGAGGAGGAGGAGGGGGAGGAGGAGGTGCGAGAGCCGACGACGACGCCCCGACCCTCCGAGGCCGAAGTCGGCACGGCACGAACTCTCGCCCCTCGCGTTCGCTGCAGCGCGAGAGCTTCAGCCTCGGCCGACGAGCTCGTTCTTCGCGACGGCCAGGCGATCGCAAGGGAGGATCAAGGGGCCGTGGATTGGCGGCGGGCCCCGTTTCCCTGGGAAGTCGCGGATATCTCCGCCGCCGAGCGAGGCGGGCGGGGGCCGCATGTTGGGGAGGGCACCTCCCCCGATCCTTTGGATTTGGCGGCCGCGCGCCAAATCCATGGATCGCTAATCCATGCTTGCGTTACGTCGGGCGTGTCCCTCTACAATGGGAATATTCACAAATAGTCAAAAAATAATCAGGGGACGATTTTTGGACTATTCTTGAGCATTAGGGGGGCATTTCTGTGGTATTTCCCCACCTAGGCTGTGCCTAGAAGGGTTCTTACTCGGTATGCTTAAAGGGCCGGGCAGTGCAACTCGCCCCGGGCGGTTCCCCCAGTATCCGCCCCGCGGTTCCCCCAGTTACGTCCCCTTAGCTTAGCGTTGCTTATCTCATCTTAGCTTCGCTTATTTTAATCTTAGCTTAGCTTAGCTTCACGATAGCTCAGGTTTATCTTAGCTAGCTTACCTTCATCTTAGCTTCGTTAATTTTTATTTGGAGGTGCAATATTACTTTACGTTTTCCGTGTCCAACACAACACGTGCCCCACATGTTGTGCGACACCCTCTGCTGGACAAGACCCATCCCCAAGTGGTTTAAAACAGAATTCTTGGTGCTAGACATGCCCCATCTGCTGTGCAACAGCCTCTGTTGGGCAAGACCCCTTCCGGAGGACCCCTCCCCAAGTTGTTTAAAACAGAATCTTTGGTGCTAGACGCGCCCCTTCTGCTGCGCGGCACCCTCTGCTAGGCAGGGCACCTCTCCATGTTGATTCAAAAAGAATCCTTTGTGTCAGACGTGCCCCATCTGCTGTGCAGCACCCTGTACCAGGCAAGACCCCTCCCAAAGTTGATTAGACAAGAATCCTTGGTGCTACACGTGCCCCTTTGCTGCGCGGCACCCTCTGCTAGGCAAGACCCACCCCCAAGTTGATTTAAAATAAATCCTTGGTGCTAGATGTGCCCCTTGTGCTGTGTTGCACCTTCTGCTAGGCAAGACCCCTCCCCAAGTTCATTAAACAAATAATCCTTGGTGCTAGACGTGCCCCATCTGCTGTGTGACACCCTCTGCTAGGCAAGACCCCTCCCCAAATTGATTAGAAAAGAGTCCTTGGTGCTAGACGTGTCCCATCTGCTGTGCGGCACCCTCTGCTAGGCAAGACCACTCCCCAAGTTGATTAAAACAGAATCCTTGGTGCTAGGCGTGCCCCATTTGCTGTGCGGCACCTTCTGTTAGGCAAGATCCCTCCCTCACTTGATTAGAACAGAATCCTTGGTGCTAGACGTGCCCCATCTGCTGTGCGGCACCTTGTGCTAGGCAAGACCCGTCCCAAAGGATTAAAAAGATCCTTGGTGCAAGACGTGCCCCATCTGCTGTGTGGCACCCTTTGTTAGGCAATGGCCCTCCCCAAGTTGATTCCCTACCTAGGCTCTAGAGGGTTCTTACTCTCTTTAAAGGGGCCGGGCAGTGCACACCGGCCCGGGCGGTTCCCCCAGTATCCGCCCCGCGGTTCCCCCAGTTACGTCCCCTTAGCTTAGCGTTGCTTATCTCATCTTAGCTTAGCTTATTTCATCTTAGCTTAGCTTAGCTTCATGTTAGCTCAGGTTTATCTTAGCTTAGCATACCTTCATTCGCTGAGCTTTAGCATAGCAGAGCACAGCACAGCATAGCGTAGCATAGCATAGCGCAGCACAGCATATCATAGCATAGCCCAGCATAGCATAGCAGAGCGCAGCATAGCATAGCATAGCATAGCATAGCGCAGCACAGCACAGCACAGCATAGCACAGCGCAGCATTGCATAGCATAGCATAGCAGAGCATAGCGCAGCATAGCATAGCATAGCATAGCATAGCATGGCATTGCATGGCATAGCATAGCATAGCATAGCATAGCAACTAATGCTGCTTTCCTAGGGGCTCCAACTTCTAGGTAGGGTCGCACTGGGGTAATTTTCATTTTTCGCCCAAAATCCCCCTGTAGGGGGACACGCCCGACTTAATGCTTGCGCGCTCCCGACAGGGGCGAGGGATGGGCTCAGGGGGGGCGGTTCCGGTTCTCCGCCGCCGGAGGGCGAGCTCCGTCTGTGCCGTTCCTCGCCCGCGGAGCTCAGGGGGCAACGCCAGGGGGAGGGGCTCAGGGGGGAGATGCTACGCTACGCTTGTGGAGGACGATCAATGGAGAGGAAGCATGTTACCAAATAATTTCCAGATGTCCAAAACACGTGTTTAAACTGTTTGCAAAGATGTAAAAAACATGTCCTAAACATTTCCAGGACATTTCCCTAAATTTTAAACACATTTGTAATTCAATGATCGGATTGTTAGAGTGTCCATTGTCATGGCATCCACAACGCTACGCTACTCACGATCGACCCGAAGGCCGCGCCAATCTAGAACTCGGGGGGAGAACTTGGCCCGTGCCTCCGGTACCCGGGCGAACGTGCGATCGTCTTGCGTGGACTGCTTCTCGGGCAGGCAGGGGCGGGGAGCGAAAGAGGGCGGGGGCAGGGGGGCAGAAGGGAAGAAAACCGTCAGATCTCCTTCGCGGGGGCCCTCACGAAGAGCTCCGCGCTGACAGGCGCAGACTCAATCGGTCCACCTCTGAAGCGGTCGGCAACGGGGGAGGTGCGTCGACCTTCTATGACCCGATCGCCCCGCCCTGCCCAGGAGCGTGCGGATTCGCTATCGGGGGCCTGTCTGTCGCCGATTCGTGGGCGAGGCGATGCCGAGGCGAGCTCGGCGCTTCCCCCCGCGGTGGCTTTTCGGGGCCGCTCGGGGCGATCCTGGAGCCCCTGGGCCGCTCTGGGCGAGGCGCAGCCGCTGGAAGGCAGCCCCAGGCTGGAGAGCCGCCGACGACGACGACGACGACGACGACGACGACGACGACGACGACGACGACGACGACGACGACGACGACGACGACGACGACGACGACGACGACGACGACCTTGAACCACGAGGGCCGGACGCGGCCCCTCAGAAGTGCCATGGAGGGCTACGAGACCTCGCGTCCCGGGGGTCTGCCGGGCCCGCTCGGCCTCCCCTGTCCGGAAGGCCGTTGTCGGGGAGGTGGACGAAGAGATCGACTCCCGCATCGATCTGGCGAGCCCAGCAGGGGGGGGGGGGATCAGCACGGCTGGGATGCAACTCCTGGGCGCTTTGAAATTCTGTATCGACGCTGTTTTTTTTCGGTCGATAACAGGCTTAGTCTGATTCAAACGGGCCAAATCCAGCTTAATCCCGCGTGATCCGGCTTAACACCTGGCTTAACCTGGCCTGATCCGTTGAAGTGGCCCTCTAATCGGGCTTAATCGCCTTGAACCGTTCAAACTAAGACCTCCTGGGGGTTGCTTCCTAAGCATGATGTGCGCCGCTTCATCAGAGAAGTCGCGGACCAACAACGCGACATGAACATGGGCTTTTGGAGCTCCGCGCGGATTTCTTCAATCGGCGCTGGGGCGCCCGTCCGGCGACGATCCAAGAAATCAACGCGGAGCTCTGGAAGTCTAAGTCTGTGCAGTTCTTCTTTTCCCAGGATGCAAGTTGCTGGCGTTCGCGGGGAGCGGTCGTGTGATGTGTGTGGGTGGCGAGGAGCACGACGCATTCCGCTGTTGGAGAGGCAGGTATGCTCAGCAGGATGCGAGGAGCATGGTGGCGGGAATAAATCAGGAGGGACAAATCACACAGACACAATTAATCGTCGATTCCCAAGGGAATATGGGAAAATATGGGAAGTGGGGGGGAAGACACAAACCCAGAAAATATGGGGAAATATTGGGAATCCAGTTATGTGTGTATTTACTTGTGTGTCTCAGGGCCCCTTCAATAAAGTGATGCCGAGCATAGGGAGAAGGATTGGGAGAGGGAGGAGAATGATGAACAGTCGGGACAACGGAAGAACAAGAAGGAGAGGAATGAGGAACGAAGAGGAGGGGGGATGAGGAAGGATGAGGTCGGATGATGGTGAACGAGAAGGAGGCGGACGAGGCGGAGGAGCCTGCACGCTGAATGTGGGATGAAGCTCCAGGCGGTTTTGCGCACTCGGGCATATTGCGAAGGCCTTACGGCCCGTGCCGAGGATCCTGAAGGGAGACGACGACGACGACGACGACGACGACGACGACGACGACGACGACGACGACGACGACGACGACGACGACGACGACGACGACGACGACCACGACGACCACGACGACGACGGCGGCGGCGGCGGCGGCAACGACGACGACGCTGACGTGGGCCAGAGTCCTCAGGGATGGTTCTTGGGGTCTCTTCGGAAGTCTCTCGGGGGCCTCTTGGGAGCCTCTTGGGGGCTTCTTGGGAGCCTCTTCGGGGCCTCTTCGGGCTTCCTGGGGACCTCCTGTGGGCCTTTTGGGGCCTCTTGGGAACCTCTTGGAGCCTCCTGGGAGCATCTTGGTGCCGAGGGCTCGAAATGTCCGTTCGGATCCCCCGTCTGGGCACGCTCTTGGAGCCGTCTTAGGGGGCCTCTTGGGCCGCTTGGGGCCGCTGCGGGATTTTTGTCGCCGAGGGCTCGTTGGGCCTCCTGTCTTGGGCACCCTGTGGAAGATTCTTGGAAGTCAAAGGTCCTCTTGGAGGTCTCGTGGAGAATTCCTGGGGACTTCTCTGGGCTTCCAGGACCGCGCGGGGTTCGGGACCGCGCGGGGACCGCGCGAGGGTTTCGGAATCGCGCGGGTGGAAAGCGTATTTTGGTCCTGGGATCCCCCTGGGCCCTCCCCCCCCGAGATCCCCCCCGGGACCCCCCCCGGGACCCCCCCCCCTGGCGCGGGGAAGGGATCAAAGGGAAAGGGCTTCCCCTCGATTCCTTTTCTATGTTGTTCAATTTTGCTTTGGACGGCGCGTATGAGGAAGAGGGCCCATGTTCCAACTTATTTTAGCCTTGACCACCAGACAGAATTTCGAGCACCAAGAACGTGCCGAAACTGGAGGGTTGTCACGTGTCGGGCCCTGCGAGGCGACATTCGCTCGACGCCGTTTCGACACTTTTCTGGGTGCTCGAATTTGTTTCTGGGATGTGGTCCTTGAGTACGATGGGAACAACATAAGCCCAGGCAAATGGAACGGATGAGGATGGAGACGACGACTCCAGCGGAAACGTCCGACTCGATCGGAGAAGCCTTTCACACGCACGCCGACAGGGGCGGCGAAGCTGCTGCCTGCCAGGGCGTGCTCACGCGATCTTATCGATTCCGATTCCGATTCCGATTCCGATTCCGATTTCGATCCGAACCGACACTCCGATCTGGAGGGTTTCTCCGAAGGGCTTAGGCGACCCATCGTCCTCCTCCTCCTCCTCCTCCTCCTCCTCCTCCCCTCCTCCTCCTCCTCCTCCTCCTCCTCCTCCTCCTCCTCCTCCTCCTCCTCCTCCTCCTCCTCCTCCTCCTCCCTCCCTCCCTCCTCCCTCCTCCCTCCTCCTCCTCCCTCCCCTCCTCCTCCCTCCTCCCTCCTCCCTCCTCCTCCTCCTCTGCTCCCTCCTCCCTCCTCCTCCTCCCTCCTCCCTCCTCCCTCCTCCTCCTCCTCCTCCGCCTCCTCCTCCTCCTCCTCCTCTTCCTCCTCGGGTCGCCTACGGCCCCTGGGGAAGCCGTGCACACCGAATCCCTCACCCACCTGCAGGGGCCGTGCCTGATCTGTGATCCGAAACGGCCCGATCCCGAGACCTCGGGGGCCCCCAAACGGTGTGGTGACCACACCGCGTGGTGAGTAGAGGAGGAGGATGGAGGATGGGTGGAGGAGGAGGAGGAGGAGGAGGAGGAGGAGGAGGAGGAGGAGGAGGAGAGGAGGAGGAGGAGGAGGAGGAGGAGGAGGAGGAGGAGGCGGAGGTCAGTGGGGAGTCGGGGTCACCGCACGGTTTTCGGGACTCGGGTTATTTTCTGAGGGAGTCTTGGGCGACTGGGGCCCCCCGTGTCCCAACTCACGGTGACGGACCGAGGTCTCCACGCGGTCCGTCACCACGCGGTGGTAGGGTCCCCAGATACCGTCCCGATGCGGGCGCGATCCGGTCCCCTTCCCATCCGATCCGATCTCGCGACGCGATCCAGCTCATGCCTGTCCGCTCTCCTCACTGCCTCGTCGCTGACGCTCCCCAGTCTCAGAGCCCGCTGGGAGGCCGAGGTGGCCCAGCACTGATTCTGACCAGCAGAAGGCAGGGGCGAGGTTAGAGGTTATGTTTTTGTTTGTTGCCTTTTTTAGTCTTTGGGTGCCTTTTCAGGCCCCAGGACTGTCAAAACGGATGCGGGGTGAGAAACTGCACCAGGTGGACCCTGGCAGGGGTCCGGGGACCGATCTTGAGCGAACTTGTCCTTACCCCCCGGTCTTGGCCGGTTTTCTCTGGGCCCATCCGGTTCGGACCCCCTGGCCGCCTCCAACCCCAGTCGAACATCCGGGCCGCGCCGCTCAAGCCGGTGGTGCACTAGGCGGGCGCGCGGCCGACATGAAGCACGCTGCTTCTCTTCGCCCTCCCCTGAGAGCAAGAGGAGGGATGAGGGAGGAGGGAGGAGGGATGAGGAGTATCGCTGGGGAGTATCGCGGCCGAGCTTTTGTTTGTTTGTTTGTTTGTTTGTTTGTTTGTTTCTTGTTTTTTACGTCGGCGGCGAGGCAGGGCTGGCTGCACCAGCGAGAGAGCTGGACGGGGGCGCCGAACCGCGAAGTGGCCAGCGCGCAGGAGGGGAACGGGGATGCAGGGCGGGCGCGGAAGAGGGGGGGGGGGAAGAAGAGGCCACTCAGGGGCGGAGGAGGAGGAGGAGGAGGAGGAGGAGGAGGAGGAGGAGGAGGAGGAGGAGGAGGGAAGAGGAGGAGGGAAGAGGAGGAGGGAGAAGGAGGAGGAGGAGGAGGACCAACGACCTCCCTATGGGTATGGGTGTGTGTTGTTCGTTCGTCATATGTTGGCCGCTTTTGAGCGAACGATCGACGGCTTCCCGATCGCCGGATCGCTCCACGCTCTTTCCGATCGCCGGAGCGCTGGCCGATGTTAGGGCCACTGGCCGCGTCCAGCATTGAACGCTCGCGTTGGGTCATCGCCGCGTCGGCACGGCACGAATCTACAGGTGCGGATGCGTCCAGTGCTCGTTGCTTCTGCGCCTCGGACGGCCCCTGGCGGCCGCGCTAGCCCCCCCGACAGGGTCGCCGGCCGCCCGGACGCCCTCTGAGCAGCTCGGCTCTGAGGCCAGCGGGGGCGGAAGGCCCCATGTGCGTGCTCGTTCCACCTACTCTTCTTCTTCTTCTGATTATTATTATTACTATTGTTGTTATTCGTTTTATTATTTTTCTTCTTCGCATTATTATTGCTGTTGTTATTTCTATTACTATTATCATTACTACTATTATAATTATTACTACTTGTTTATTTATTTATTTATTTATTTATTTATTATTATTATTATTATTGTTATTCTTATTACTATGATGATTATGAATATGAATATGAATATAATGATGATGATGATGATGGTGGTGGTGATGATGATGATGATGATTCTTCTTCTTCTTCTTCCTATTATTATTAGTATCATTATTACTATTATTAATATTATCATTATTATTATTATCATCATTCTTATTGTTATTATCATTACTATCATTATTATCATTGTTATTATTATTAGTATTAGTGTGATTGTTACTCTTCTTCTTCTTCTTCCTCCTGTCGGTCGGCAGCGAGCCCAGAAGGAGGGAGGCGAGAGAGGGGGCGGGGCTTCTCAGAGGGCGGCGGGGCCTCTCGGAGGCCCCCGCGCCTCCTGAGAAGCTTTCTGAACCCTCCCCGAAAACAGGAGCAGCCTCCTAGGACTGTGGAAGGCGATTAAGGGAGAGGAGGCATGCTGCCAAATAGTTTCCAGATGTCTAAAATGTGTTTCAAACATGTTTCAAATCTGTTAAAAACATGTTTGAAACATTTTTGTAGAACATCTTTTCCCCATTTTAAACACATTTTCAATTAAATGATAGGATTGTTAGAGTGTCCATTGTCATGGTATCCACAACTCTAGGAGGCCGTAGGGCTTCTGAGAAGACCGGTCGCCTTCTGAGAAGACCCGTCCCCTCTCAGTTCCCCCCCGGACTCGCCGCCGAGTCAGGGCGCTCGAGCTGAGCGGTGTTTGGGCGATTTGGTTGACCGTTTTCGTTTGGACTTTGTTCTGCAGTAAAGGTGGAACGAGGCCGAGGGAAAACGAAAGCAACAGGGACACGGGAAACGCTGTTCAGGTCGACTCCCGCAGCCTCGCTCGCTCCTCCTTTCGTGCTGCCTCGAGGCGCCTGCCCCTTCTTTCGGAGGCAGCGTCAGGTGGGATAGGCTCAGGAGGGGGAGAACCGAAGATCGAGGGGCGAGGGGCGAGGCTTCAGGTTAGAGTTAAGTCGGGCGTGTCCCTCTACAGGAGGAATATTTACAAATAGTAACAACAATATGTGGACGACGTTTTGAGTTTTTTTGTTGGTTGTTTTTGTTGTTGTTTGTTTTTTCGTTTTTTTGTTTTGTTTTGGGGTATTTTGTTTTTTCCGTTCAAAGTCCGCCTGTAGGGGGACACGCCCGACCGAAGGTTAGAGGTTTTGGGGCGTTCTCGGTGGATCTCGGTGGCTGTCCCACCTCGGAGTGCTCTCCAGCAGTTGCGCCTCGCCGGGAGCGTGCTGGGGGTGTTAGGATCGTCCCGACCGGCCGCCGTAGAGCCGAGGTATGGCCTGGAAGTTATGGGTGCCAACAGGGGGGGATAGGAGGGTTTCTCCGAAGGGCTTATGCGACCCGTCCTCCTCCTCGTCCTCGTCCTCCTCCTCCTCGTCCTCCTCCTCCTCCTCCTCCTCCTCCTCCTCCTCACCTCCTCTTTTTTGTCCTCCTCTTTGTCCTCCTCCTCCTCCTCCTCACCTCCTCCTCTTCGTCCTCCTCCTCGTCCTCCTCCTTCTCCTCTTCACCTCCTCCTCCTCCTCCTTCCCCTCCTCTCCTCCTCCTCCTCCTCCTCCTCCTCCTCCTCCTCCTCCTCCTCCTCCTCCTCCTCCTCCTCCTCCTCCTCCCCCTCCGGTCGCCTACGGCCCCGGGGGAAACCGTGCAAACAGGGGGGGATACGCTCAGAGGAGGACAACTCGACCCCCAAACGCCCATTGCTCGCCGATAGGGGTTCGACAGCCCAGCCTGCCCGGGAACGTGCGGATTTGCTATCGGGGGCATATCGCCGATCTCTCGGCGGTGTACCGCCAGTTCCAGCTCGATGTTTCTCCCCTCAGCTGGCCTCCCCCCTGCCGTTGCCCCTCACTTCTTTGTCCAAGACCGGAGAAGAAACAACACACGAGCACGATTCGGCGGCGCCTCTGGCGTCGCGCCGATCCAAGATGTCAGCTCGATCCAGCGAAGGTTTACGTTTGTGCCGTTGTTTCCTTTGGCATATTCCATGCTCAAGAGGCCAGCGCCACCGCGCCGATCCCCAGAAGAAGAGGCCGTCCGCGGCTTCCAATCTCGGACGTGCCGTTTGCCGCTGCCCGTCGTGCTGCCTGCGTGTAGTCTCTTCTGGCTTGTCTTAAGTCGGGCATGTCCCTCTACAGGAGGAGTATTCAAAAACAGTCAACAAATAGTCTGGGGGACGATTTTGTAGCATTTTTTGATTCTTTGGGTGCATTTGTGGAGTATGTTTAATTTTTCGCCCAAAGTCCGCCTGCAGGGGGACATGCCCGACCTAAGTGCAGTCTTTTCCGGCTTGCCCTCCCGCCCCTCCGCGTCTGTCCATGGCGGCCTCTTGGGGCCTGGCATCGCTTGGACGTGTGCATTTTTTTTCTCGGCGAGCCCTTTCGAGGAGCATCCTCGACCATCGGGCCAACAACAACGCGCGCGAAACCCCAAAATGCACGGGGAATGGACATCCGAGCGACGGCGGGTGGGGGCCGGTCCTGGAGGCCTCGGAGGCGGCCTCTTGTTCCGCCCCGAGGCGCGGCCTCGGCTGCCTCCCGGCCAGGGGGAGGGCCTGTGGCTGGCCTCTCCCGCGCGCCCCGACCTCGGTCACTCCTCTCCTCGTCGGAGGTGGCAAGGAGGGGGATGGTGACTAGGGGGGGGGGATGACCGACATGGGTGCGGAAAGAATGGGTACAATGCCCAACGGCAGTTCTTCTTCATTTTGGACAGGACTCGCTGTCCGCGCCGCCCCGGCCTGTGTTCACTTGAGGCAGAAGGCCGCCTACCCATCAGCGGCCGCTGTTGGTTTGGGACAACATTTGTTGTTGGGCATTGTACCCATTTTTGTCCGTACCCATTTCGGGCGTCCAAAGAGAAGTCGGGGGCGGCCAAGAAGGGGGTGATGACTAGGGGGGGTGGACATTATGGCGTGGGCCATGATATTTCCCCAGATATCATGGCGCCTCTGTTTATTTCAATGCGTCCCTGGCCCCCAACCTCGGCCGCGCACGTGCCGCCAGCCATGATTTGCGCCCCCCCCCTCTTTGACGCTCCCCTCTTGGCCGCCCCCGACCTCGGTTCCCCTCTCCGCTCCTCCCGCCACCTTTTCCTCCCTGCCGCCCTCGTTCTCTTGGGCTCCTCCCTTCCCTCGCTCCCTCCCTCTCCCCCTCGCTTTTCGCTCCTGGCGCCCACGCCTCATCCTGGGGCCGCGACCTCCTCCTCCCTCAGAAGCGGACCAGTTGTATGAGCCCGGATGATGACGTGTGTGTGTGTGTGTGTGTGTGCAGTCCTTCGCATAACACCTTGTGATGGTGAGTGATCCATTGAGCGACGTTGACAAGCACCTCGAATACGATGCAGACTGCTGTGTTGCCGCTGTCAGTTACGCGTGTTTGCACTGCTGCAGTGCACGTACGTTCTGTGGGTGGGCCTGCGCATCCCTGCCGGCCGCACTGGAAGCGCACCATACGTACAATTGGCCGTTGGGTCCGGATATGTGCGGTACAATGAACACGTAGCTCGGTCGTGCGAGGACACGATCGAACATTCGGAGGTCGATAGACCTCCTACCCTGACACGTCGATTAAGGAATTGGCCGTTTTCGGTTCGCGAGAGGGCGTCGCGGCCGTTATTTTTGCGGGTCCAGGTCCGTCGGTTTCGGTCCTAGGCCGTTTTCGCTAAACGGAGGTTTATTCAAGGGAGGTTTGTCCACCGCCGAAACATGTAGTTCGCTCGTGCGAGGACACGATCGAGCATGTGCTCATCACTGGTTCAGGACAACACAAGTCCCTGGAAACGAGAATCTGAGATCGAGGACAGTCTGGAGAAGGCTCCTCCTCCTCCTCCTCCTGGGCACTTCTACCACCTCCATGCTTGGCCAGGGCCGTTCTGGGCCCCAGGACCGTGTGTCGACCCTCCTGGCCTCGGCCTGGAAGGGTTTTTTTGCACCACATCTCAGGTCCCAGGAGGGGCCCTTGGCCAGTTACAGAGGTGCTGTATGCATCTGGTGCGTTCCAGAAGGGGCCTCGTCTTCGAGGGATCGAGAGCTGG